GGACCGAGCGTCCCCGGGGTCCCGAAGCCCCGCCCCGGGCCGCCCGACGCGGGCTGGTGAGGCTGGGAGCCCTCGGCACGCGTGACAGCGCCCGCGGGGAAGCTCGGACACACAAAGGGACGGAGGGCCCGGCCGCCCTCCTGTTTCCCGGTCCTACCAGGACACGACCGCTGCGAAGGGTCCGGACAGGTCCGCAGTCCTCCGCGCGCGCGGCGTCTCCCACCGACCCCGCAACGCGCCACCGTCGCCTTGACGACCCGGCGCCCCGCCCAGCGGCGGGAAAGACGGCGGACTCGGAGGCCACGCCCCCTCGGCGCGTCGCGCGCCTTCTAGCGGCAGCTCCCAGCCAGCTACAGGCAGGAACGAGTCCCACCCCCTGTCGGCAGGATTGGGCCGCGGAAAAGCTCCGATTGGCTGGAGCACAGGTCAGTGTCTGGACCTTGAAGGGAAGACCTTGTCCTTGTGTATGCTGACAATTGCGTTCCGAGTCCTGCATCCTTACCATCCGGCCTCTCAGAGCTGGTGTGCGGATTTTCTTCCATTGCTACAGACTTCAGAATGCATGCAGGCAGGAGATAGGTTTTGAGGCGTCTGTAAGGGCTCTTTCAAAACACAAACTACAAACTGGATGTGCTGGTGCATGCCTGGTAATCCCACCGCTCCAGAGGCTGAGGCAGGAGGATCCTAAATTGCAGCCCAGCCTGGACAAGTTAGTGATTTAGTAACACCCTGTCTCAAAATTTAAAATGTTTAAAGACAGCTGCGGATGTAGTCTACTATGAAGACCCCGGGTTTGATTCCCAGTACCTCCACGAAAGAAAAAAACGTACAAATCATGAATTCAAAATTAAGTATGAAAGTCAAGTGGGACAAATACAAGCACAAAACAGTTAACAAACATGGCAGATAATAACCCAAGTATACGTATAATCGCTTTAAATATGAACTGTCTAGGGGCTGGGGATTTAGCTCAGCGGCAAAAGCGCCTGCCTGGCAAGCGCAAGGTCGTGAGTTCGGTTCCCGGTACCGGAGAAAAACTAAAAGCCAAAAAAAAAAAAAAAGAAGAACTGTCTAAGTTATACCAATTAAAGGACAGACTGTCAGAGTAGATTAAAAAACAAGGTCCAATTATGAGTCACTTACAAGAAATCATTTGTGCTAATCAATGTGGCACATGCCTGTAATCCTAGCACTCAGGAGGCTGAGGCAGGAGGGTCACCACGAGTTCAAGGCCAACCTGGGCCACACAGTTTAAGGCCAGCCTGAAATACATAGCAAGACCCCTTCTCTAAAAAGGAAAAAAAAAAAAAACACTTTAAAAATAGATATAAGCCCAGGCATGATGGTGCACACCTGTCATTCCAGGACTTGGAAGGCTGAGGCAGGAGGATTGTTGCAAGTTTGAGACCAGCCTGGGCTACAAAGTGAGCCCAAGGCCAGCCTGAACTGTATAGTGAGACGCTGTCTCCAAAAGATATATATATATTTAAAGGTAAAGGAATAGAGAAAGCTATGCCATGCTAACACCAGTCAGAGGAAAGGGAAAGTAGCTGTATTCAATTTAAGCAAAGCAAGCTATAGAACAAGGAAGTTTATCAGAAATAAACAGTGGCACTATGTAAAGGGGCCAGTTCTCTAGGAAGACAGCAATATTTAATGTGTTTACTCTTAACAACAAAGCATCAAAATATGTCAGGCAAAAACTGATAGAACTTCCACACACAAAACGTAAACTCACTATTATATTAAAGATTTCAACAGCCGCTTTTAGGGTAGCTGACAGATCCAGCAGGCAGAAAATGAGCAAGGATACAGTTGAGCTGAACAACATCAGCCAAATCGATCTCACTGACATTTATATAATACTTCATCCCCCAGCAGCACATGACTGCTCAGGGTGGCTTGGTTCAGGGACACAGCGGGGAAGGAAGTCAGGAAATTGGGAAGAAGTCAGAGCACGATGGTGAGGCATACTCCAACAAGCTCCATGCAGCAGTGCTGGTACGAGGTTGTGCAACCCCGTGTAAGAGCATCCGCCTCCCCCAGATCCTGGTAAGCACCTGCTTTCTCTCAGTTCGGTTCTGAATCCACCTACTTTTTCTTGCACTCTGTCCCACCACAGTATTCTGTTCTAGGACAATATTTCCCAGAGCCACAGAGCTACTCCTGAAAACACAGCGTTACAAACTGAGCTGGCCAGATGCACATTTCTCCACGATGGCGGAGACTCATGCTCTTGGATTGTTTGGAATCTCCTTTTGAAATTAGTTCACAACACAAAATTCCTATCAGATACCAAACTGTTTCTGCCAGCACAGCAAAAGACAAGAGACATTTTTAGATTTCTTACCACACAATCTCTATTACAAAATATATTCACATCTTTGCCAGGCTGAACCTCAGAAACGCCCCCGGCCAGCTCCCCCTTTATACCTGTTGTCCCATGTAATTATGCACAGCACTCTCTTCATTTTCCGAAGTTCACAATTTGGGCAACATAACAACAGGAACTCTCCTCAGTGTTCTTCCAGATGGATCACCTTGGGCCGCCTTTGCTTTTTATGATCTCAATTTAATGAAACTTCTCTCTTTTACATATGTAATGATATGGGTCAGTGATTTGATTGCTTTGTCCAAAAATCAGGTGCCCTTTTCAAATGAGACCTGCTCTGAGGAGTGTGCACTTTTTGTTTATTTGGTTTGCTTTGTTTTGATGCAAAAATTTCTAACGTTAGCTGTTATGGAAAATAACAAGGCTGAAATATTTTTTTTAAAAAAAATCTTTCTCCTGCAAGTCATACTTTTTGCCACAAGGTGGTAGTTTGCTCAAAGGAATCCCTTCTGAGAACTGAATTAGATAACAATTTTCCTTATCAAACATTTTAGAACTAATGTGACCCTAAAACAGAACTAAGTCTACTCACTTAAAGAGAAAACCATAAACCAAAGCAGGCTATGTCTTTCCCCAGATAACTTCCAGTTTGTCATCCTGGATGATAAAAATGTATAAATACAGCTTTGTCTAACCTGACTCCTCGCTGCTTCCAGAAACAATGCTTTCTTCTTTCCACAAGTAACAGCCTGCGCCTCCTGCGCCTTGCTCTGGGGGAGGTGTTGGGTATAGTGGACTCAGAGCTTTGCAGCCAGAGCTGGATCCTGGACCTAAACTTGTTTAACTGACGCTGGGTTCCTCACTTTCCTCATCTCCAAAATGGGGCATGTGACTCCCACCTTTCAGGAATATTCTGAGTCTTTCAGTTTCTTAACACTAAAGCTAGGGTTGGTGTTGATTTTTCCCGGTGTGGAACTGTGCTGGGTAGCAGCGCCGCAGCCGAGGATCACAGTGACCACCCGCCCCACCGCTTGCACCCTTCGATTAGTTTTCCTCAGTTAGGGTGCAGTAAGACCTTCACTTCTGGGCACTTATGGGTAAGGGTCAGAGACACAAGCCTCCACATTTGCTCACATCTGACAGCTCAGTGTCACCAAAGCAACTTTAGTGATCAGAAGTTTTATATTTTTGATGAGGTATAATTTATCCATTTTTATTATGTGTTCATTATGCTGTTCTTAAGAGAAATCATTACCTACCTCTGCGTCAGAAAGCTATCCCATTTTTTTCTAGGGATTATAGGAATTATAAGAAAAATTATGATGAAAGGAATTATTAGAAAATTAACTTTACCTTTAGGCTTGTGATCCACATCAAATTCTTTTTTTTCCTCGTATCTTTTTTTCTTTCTCTTTCCTTTTTCTTTCTTTCTTTCTTTCTTTCTTTCTTTCTTTCTTTCTTTCTTTCTTTCTTTCTTCTTTCTTTCTAATAGGGTGGTCACCAAGTCATAAGCTCAAGCAATCCTCCTGCCTCAGCCACCTGAATACCTAGGACTACAGGTGCACACCACCATGCCTGGCTCATACTCATTCTCTAACTGAAATTTTTTTGAGATAATTATAAGTTTACATAGTTGTAAGGAATAGCATGAAGCAATCCTTTGTACATTCTGCTCCAAATCTCTCAGTGGTAATATCTAGTAAAATATAGCACATTATTACAGCCAGGATATTGGTGTTGGTTGATACAGTCCACTCCTCAGTCAGATATCTGCGCATTCTTTGGTTTCAGTGTATCCAGTTTGTTTCAAGTTTCTTTTTGTATGGGATATGAGTTAGGGACCCAGGTCATTTCCCTCCATATGCATGTCTAGCTATGTGAGTATCACCTGCTGAAAAGCCTTACCTTTACTTCACGGAATTGCTTTGGCCATGTAATGTGAGTTTCTTTCAGGACTATTCCACTTGATTAATAGTTGTATAATAATCACCTTACAATCAGATAATCCAAGTCTTCCAAATAGTTTTTATTTTTCAGAATTTCTTTGGCTATTCTAATTTCTTTGATTTTCATATATGTTTCAGATTCAGGCTGTTAATAGCTTGTAAACTATCCTGTTGGAAATTTGATTACGATTGCACTGCTCCTGAAGACTGACTCCACAACTGACATTTTATTAACAGCGAGTCTTCCAACATGTAAATACGATCTATCACTCCAGTGTGTCTTTCATTTCAGTCAGTTTTAGAGTTGTTGAAGAATCTTAGAAGCCATCCTCCTGCAGGCGTTACCTTTCCTTCAAGACGTAGAAGTCATGGGGTCACCATCGAACCACAGATCTGAGTTCTTGTCCCAGCAACTTTCTGTGAATCTTTCACTATGGTTGCCGCCGTGCCCAGAACTAATGAGGCCCGTGCTGTCCACCATTCGAGCTTGCTGAGAGTCAGAGGAGGCGGTACAGAGCCGTCCACGCTGCTTGGCGTCCGGCAGCCCCGTCACTCTCATGCTTCTGTACATTTTGCAAGCAGAGGTACTGATTGCCTTTATCCCTATCTTTTCATGAGTGTTTATGTAGTGAACAGCCTTGAGAGGAGAGCGAGAGACAGAGACAGAGAGAGACAGAGACAGAGGGGGGGGGGGCCTTGTGAAGCAAAGGAAAGGTTTGCTTACAGCCTTGCAAGACAGAAATAGTGTCTCCCTCTACTGAAAGCACATTTACTTAGCTATATTCAACCTACTATTAAACTTATGCAACGTGTTCATGGTTTCAGTTATTGTAATTTTAAGTTTCATACTGCCCACTTTATTTTTACTTTTATTTTTGTGCACATATTTCCCTCCTGTGTGGACATTCTCTGTCCTTTCATCTATTTTATTTACCTTTTCCTCCATTTTATTCACCATGTTAATCTTTTTTTTTTTTTTTTTCCCCAGTAC